AGGATACCCTTGCACTGATTTTGCTTGGAAACTTATCCATAAGTCATGCCGAGTTAGTCTAATTGATCTTTATGTGTTATTTGTCCTTATCATGTATTAAGCCACTGTTTCCAACGATGTCCATATTTCAAATGTACTTGTTCATTTAAGGTTTGTTAAAGGGCTTAGAGTAGATTGGAGGAAGAAAAGAAATGAAGTAAAAAGAAATATGAATTAAAATTAAATTTTCAATTTACATATGCCCATTTAGTGTAGCTTGAGGGCTCGAGCATGCCCTGAATTCATGATTCATACACAGAGAATAAGAGGGAAGGTGCCCCTTAAAGAGGTTTGGTCTACTTTTCCACCAAAGCCTTTATCTAATGTTTGCAAGTTGACGCTTCAGAAAGTCTAATGCAAAAAGGAGACGTCTTAGCTTTTCCTCCCTTAAAGATATGGCTGGCTCAAATCCTAAACCCTATCGTGTTGGATTATCTCGGAAGAACGGTTGCTTAGTCATTCCTTAAAAATCTCTACCAAGCCTTGGTCCTAGCTAGTACCCTTTTTAAGCAGTATTTGTGCCACTTCCATTGCTCGAGACCTGTCCATGTGAGCGATCCTAGGGTTTCCTCTGCCATATCCATGTAAGAAATGGTGAGTGGCTTGTCGATAAGTAAATCTTTCTCAGCTTGAACCATTTTCGGCTTGCTATCCACCACAAACTTAACTTTTGGTGGAACGAGGAGGGTAAAACTTGCACTTGATGCATCCATGTCCTTTCCTAAGAGGCGACTATAGGTGGAAGCGATTGTATAGTTTGGAGTAAAACTTTCATGTAGTCTTGATTCTTAGAGGGAATACTCAAGCTACCTTTCAATTTTCAACTTGAGTAGACATTACATTTTCTTTTTCTTATTATTTTATCCCTAACTTTTGCATAGGACGTATTCTATCGAGATCTTTAGTCTTTTCCTACCAAAAACCTTGTCTTGGCGGGCTTTCATCTTGCCCTAACTTTTCCTAAAATACCCTTTGCGAGTTTTCATTCTAGTGAGCTCTTAACAAGTAATGCCCTTAAGCATAATACTTCTTCTTTGTATTGGAATTTTCTTGGTTAGAAAGCTCTATTCACTTGGCATTATGTGTTTGAGAAATTCATCCTCTTCCCCAGATTCCTTTCTTTTCTTCTTTGAACTACTCTTTCCTTTTTGGAGATATTAGCTTGCGATTTGCTAGGAGTGTAGAATTGGCCACTCCTAGTTATTCCTCTAACCCTAGTGATATCGTATGGATCTTTTGATGTTGATGCTTGGATTTTGCGGACCCATAGCACAACTTTATCCTTGTCGTATGGGGAAAGACTCAACATTTTATATCATTAGCTGATTTGGCTTTCCTTATCTTTCACCCACGTGGATTGTGACTGGTTTTAACCTTTTTAAGCATGACCCGCTTTAATGTGTGGGCTTGATTATCAGCGGCTTACTTTCCATGATTAATGTGTATAAGTTAATTACTCTTTTTCTTTTTTAATTCATTTACAAGGAAGGGTATGCTCTAAATGAATGTAATGCATAATGCAAAGACAATTAAGAATTTATAAATATCAATCTCATTGATTTGTTTACCGATTAATGCTTAATGTTTTCGATAATATCAAAACAGAATCTAAAGAAATCTTAAGTGATCGATGCATGTACGAAACATGGCTTATTAATGCCATATGAAACTATCTTGAAAAAGGAAAATGCAAGAGCTTTAATTAGCATTATTATCTAAACCATTTTCCTCAGCATACGATAAATCTTTCAGATGCAGTGCCCTTGTGTTTGAATACATCAGTCAGAATCTTTTCTCTATCTCATACTGTCTTATTTCTTCTCTCTACTTTTTCTTTCTTTTATAACATTTCTAACAATAATTAGATTTAGGTACTATTTGAACAATTCAACTTTGAATTCAGCACTGTCCAACTCTATAATTTGCATTATAATACTTGATCAATAGAAGAGATGTAATTTCTAAAAGATAATATAGTTTTATCCTTTTCTAGTAAATTAAATGTGTGGGACGGGTTTAATCAATAGTTCTTTTGCATAGGTACAATATACGTTTTGTTTATTTGGGGTTGGTCTAAAGCAAACAACAGGGGCTAAAGAAACCCAGGCCCATATAGAGGAACAACAGGTTACTCAAGAAACAGGTTCCGTCCCAATTTTTATTAACCTGTAAGGGGATGGAACACGGAAAGCCCGATGTTTGGTTAAAAAACTTTGGAATGAAGTCCAATAATGACTTGGACTTTCTTCATTTGGACTTTTTTTAGTTTAGCACATCATATGTATATATATATTTTTTAATACGAGTACACCTCCTTTTTTAAAAAAATAAATAAATATTATTAATTTCTTTTATTGTCTATTTTTTAATTTTACATTTCCAACATTCAATTTAGCACTTTTTTATTTCTATACACCTCTTCTTCTTTCATTTTTAATTTTCACATATATCTCCTTATTTTCTCTCATTCTCCACCTATTTCAATAGGTAGTTTTAATTTATTCAATTTTCACAAGTTTTCTTTCTCATTCCCTTTTAGTTTTTACATTGTTACCCTTTACTTTTCTTCTTTCAATTTTCACACGCACTCGAGACGTAGAATTAGTGCGCGATAGTGTTATAGACGTGTGCGGCTTCCTTAACAGTGTCGAAAGTGTCGAGTCAGATGCACTTTTTTCTTTGAGCACTTCCTTCCCTTCAATAGTTCCAAAAGGAACAACACTTTTGTTTTGAAAAATACATTACCGAAACATTAACTTTACTGTTCCAGAAAATATTTTCCGAAATAGTGAAACTAGTGTTCGGAAAAGTATTTTTCGGAATTGTTTTTTTACATACTTCCAAGAATTACTTTTCAATACTAAATTTACTATTTTAGAATTTTTTTTTGAAATTATGTAAAACAACACACTTTCAAAAAGTACTTTCTAAAATAGTAAAATTTATATTTTAAAAGTACTTTATAAAAATATGTTGTTTTACATAATTCTGAAAATTTGTTTTCGAAACCATAAATTAGTATTCTGGAAAGTAATTTTCAAAATTATTATTTTTACATATTTTCATAAAAGTACTTTTTGGAACAATAATTTCACAATTCTGAAAAATACTTTCTGAAATACTAAAACTAATGTTCAAAAAAGTATTTTCTAGAAAACTAAGTTAATGTTAAGATTTCTAAAAGTGTGAAAAGGAAGAAAATATTTGAAGAAAAAGTTATGTATCCGACTCAACACCTTCAAAAGAAATATATTAAAAATAAGGAGAAAATATTAAATTTAACGTTGTGGGAGATGTAACATTAAAAATTAAAAATTAAAAAAATTAAGAATATTTTTTTAAAAAAAATTAAAAATAGGAAAAGATGTGTAGTTAAAAAGGATGTATATATCATTATCCTTTTAGTTTTTAGTGTTTACAAGTGTAAATAATTTAATCTGTAAAGTAAGTGTCATTATTGAAACTAGAAAGAAGAAAGGTGGGTGTGGCACCCATGTGAGTGAAAGAAAGAAAGTCTTCTTGCGGGGCTCACATCACGGATGCAGGAATATCAAGAGAAATAATGATATATGGACAAAGATGAGCTATGGTACCTTCATAAACCTGACCTTTGTATTCTAAATAATTTCCTTAGATGATATTTTTTATTACTTACCATTTCTTATTTTGTGCCGAAGCACTTAATAAAGCACGGATTAAAATGGGTGAAATTAAATAGCATTACTTGAATGCAACGGCAAGTCTATGCGAAAATTAAAGATGATAAAAAGAGTTGTATTTACCAAAGCTTTATAATGCATGATTATTTAACGATTCACCGTAAATACTAGTTTGAGTCATTATTACCGAGATAATGGTCTACTTCATATATACTTCATATATATCGTGTAACATATATAATTATAGACACATAAGAATCATGGTATACACTTTTGTGTACCAGTTAAAGCGTTACGTTGGTAATGTTCATTCTGGTATATATCGTATTGGGTAAACTTAAAAGGGGAAAGAGAAATCACTTTAAATTTTATTAATTTACTACAAGATGATTTTATTGAAAAATATCGAAGTTAGAGTATTTATTTCACTCTGGACTGCGTTTTTCTACCAAGAGTTTTGCCTAATGCTTCGGAAGTATTCACTTTTGACATATGTCTACTCAGACTGAGATCTTTGGAGATGGTTCCATACTCCAATTTCCATACTTTTTATAAGTTTTTTAGTACTTTCTATCTCAAAAAGTTTTCACTACTCTAGTGTATTTAATCGCTCTATCTCTCTTATATATTTTAGTTTCTTTTTTAATAATATTCATTATATAATTAAATAACTTATTTTTCTTAGTTTTGTGCTATATTTTAGTATTTTTATTTTGAATTTTTGTATTTTTATAGTATATATATATGTATTAGTTTTTCAATTCTATATTTTTTAAGTTCTCTTCTTTCTTTTAATATTTTTATAGCTTTATTACAATATTCAATTTTTAATCTTTGTAATTACGATATACTTTTTATAGTATAAATATAATTAAGTTATTCATTTTATTTTTTTTGGATTATTGGCTTTTATATATTCTGGTGTTTGTGAATGTTTGATGTTGAAATATGAAGTTTTTTTATGCAATTCATATGATTCTTTGATTTCTATTTGCTCTGGTTCTTCCATAAAATGTTTTATTATTTTTATTTTTATTATTTTTTCTTTCCCTTGGAAATGGTAATGAGCATTAGCTATTTTTGCCATGTCACTGTAATATCTATTATAAGTAAAAAATATATATATATATATATATTTTTATTCTTAAATATAAATAAATTTAATTGATTTTGCATCATTTAGTGATATTTTTTTATTAAAAAAAATATCTCTTCTTTAAGTAGGAAAATTTAATGAAATAATCAATTTTCTTAATATACATAAAATCAATAATTTATTATGTATATGGAGAAAAGACATACCAGCTCGAAGCACATCAGCAACAGCATCCTCTGCTGATTTTGCATAGCCTTGCTGGTCATGAATGATCCCCACTGCACCACAATCCGACGTAATGTAGCCATGGAAATCCCACTGTTTTCTAGCGGTTTTAGTCAAGAGATCGAAATCCGCACAGTTGGGAACCCCGTTCACGCGGTTGTAAGCGCACATTATCCCACTGGCCCGCCCTTGCTGCACGCAACTCTCAAACGGAGGCTGATATGTATCCGCCAGGTCTTGCAAAGATACCTGAAAGAGTGGAGAAGGATAAAGCAATATTGTATGAGAGGATGAGATGGAATTGAGAAGAAATAATAGTAATTAGCTAGTTAGGTACACCGTACGCGAGCATCGAAGCGAAAGCGATCCACGCCTTTCCAATTATCCAAATCATAAGCGGTGAAATGCTTGCAGCAGGCGGAGGCTTGGAGGTGGCCTCGCAGTTTGCCTCCTTGGAAGGAATCTCCTTGGAGGCCTCGGACGTAGGAGACGGCGTAGCGAGAGGTGAGGAGAGGGTCTTCGCCGGCTGTCTCCTGGCCCCTGCCCCATCTTGGATCCCTAAAGAGGTTAATGTTGGGGGCCCAAAAGGTCAGGCCCATGCTCTGCCCCGCATTGTAGATGCCCCTCGCTTCCACGCCGATGGCGTCACCGATTTCGTACCAGAGGCGGGAGTCGAAGGAGGCTGCGGTGAGGATCACCTGGGGGAAGCTCGTGGCGGAGGTGACGGTGCCGTTGAAGCGGACGCCGCGGCCCACGCTTCCGACGCCGTGGAGGGCCTCGCTCCACCACTGGTAGGCGGGGATGGCGAGGCGGGGGATGGGAGGGGCGGTGTTGACGAGCTGAGAGAGTTTCTCGGCGAGGGTGAGTCGGGAGAGGAGGTCGTTGGTTCGTTGGGGAATGGGGAGCTTGGGGTTGCAGAAGGGGTAGGATCTGGAGGAAGGGTTGGACCAGTCGCATGCGAAAGGAGGCTCTGCAGTGACATGGAGGACGACTGTCACCCAAAAGATGCTCGCAATCGCAAAGCTCAAGGCTGCTGGGACTGGGACACCCATCTTTTGGAGCCAAAACTTTATCGTCATACTACAATTATTGTTTCTCACCACCATTTTATTTTAGACAAAGTTTACTGCACCCTCACTTTTCAAAGGGACGTGGACCAATAATTTAAAGACATTTCATTTAAGTGTGTCATATCAAGTTAAATTTGAAATTATAAAATTTTGCTATTAAGTCCTTTTTATTTCAAGATGAAGTTTAAGTGGTCTATCATGTACTATGAATCTTTACCATTAAATGCATCTAATCTAATAGCTTATTATATACACTAATTTTTTGAATTTTTTTATTAAAAAAAATAATTTACCCAAAAAAATTCTATTTACGCAACTTCAACACTTTGGTTTTCAGGTTCAGAACGAGCCGTTCCATATGAAAAAACAACACATGAAGAATAGACAAAAACGGCCCGTTCCAAATCTAGAACGGTCCGTTCCAGATTCAGAAATAAGACATGTCCAGTTAAACCAGAACGGATCGTTCTGAAATCAGAACGGCCCGTTCCAGATTCAAAAATAAGACATGTCCAGTTAAACCAGAACGGGCCATTCTAAAATCGGAACAACCCGTTCCAGATTCAGAAATAAGACATTTCTAGTTAAAACCCTAGGCCCACCATACCCATTGGCCTCACTAAGCTCTGAAGCAATTAAAAGCCCAAAGGCCTATGAAGCCCAAAATTAGGCTCAATAAGCTTAAAACCCAAAAAAGTCTTATACTAAGAAGAACCCTAGGCCACCAAACCCATTGGGCTCACTAAGTTCTGAAGCAATCAAAAGTTCAAAGGCCCATAAAGCCCAAAATTAGGCCCAATAAGCTTAAAACCCAAAAAAGTCTTATACTAAGGTCCATAATACAAGACCAAACAATATAAACTCCTATATTACCAAATATACTACCCATTAGGCTCACTACGCTCTGAAGCAATCAAAAGCCCAAAGGCCCATTAAGCCCAAAATTAGGCCCAATAAGTTTAAAACCCAAAAAGTCTTATACTAAGGAGAACCCTAAGCCCACCAAACCCATTGGGCTCACTAAGCTCTGAAGCAATCAAAAGCCCAAAGGCTCATGAAGCCCAAAATTAGGCCCAATAAACTTAAAACCCAAAAAGTCTTATACTAAGGCCCATAATACAAGACCAAACAATATAAAATCCTATACTACCAAATATATGAGAAAGGTGGTCATCCATGTAAAGTCCAAGTAAAGAGAACCCTAGGCCCACCAAACCCATTGGACTCATTAAGCTCTGAAGCAATCAAAAGGCCAAAGGCCCATGAAGCCCAAATTTAGGCCCAATAAGCTTAAAACTCAAAAAGTCTTATACTAAGGCCCATAATACAAGACCAAACAATATAAACTCCTATATTACCAAATATACTATCCATTGGGCTCACTAAGCTCTGAAGCAATAAAAAACCCAAAGGCCCATGAAGCCCAAAATTAGGCCCAATAAGCTTAAAACCCAAAAAGTCTTATACTAAGGCCCATAATACAAGACCAAACAATATAAACTCTTATATTACCAAATATACTACCCATTGGGCTCACTAAGTTTTGAAGCAATCAAAAGCCCAAAGGCCCATGAAACCCAAAATTAGGCACAATAAAGCTTAAAACCCAAAAAGTCTTATAGTAAAGAGAATCCTAGGCCCACCAAACCCATTGGGCTCACTAAGCTTTGAAGCAATCAAAAGCCCAAAGGCCCATGAAACCCAAAATTAGGCACAATAAAGCTTAAAACCCAAAAAGTCTTATACTAAGGCCCATAATAAAAGACCAAACAATATAAACTCCTATACTACCAAATATATGAGAATGGTGGTCATTCATGTAAAGCCCAAGTAAAGAGAACCTTAGGCCCACCAAACTCATTGGGCTCACTAAGCTCAGAAGTAATCAAAAGCTCAAAGGCCCATGAAGCCCAAAACTAGGCCCAATAAACTTAAAACCCAAAAAGTCTTATACTAAGGCCCATAATACAAGACCAAACAATATAAACTCCTATACTACCAAATATATGAGAAAGGTGGTCATCCATGTAAAGCCCAATTAAAGAGAACCTTAGGCTCACCAAACCCATTGGGCTCATTAAGCTTTGAAGCAATCAAAAGCCCAAAGACCCATGAAGCCCAAAACTAGGCCCAATAAACTTAAAACCCAAAAAGTCTTATACTAAGGCCCATAATACAAGACCAAACAATATAAACTCCTATACTACCAAATATATGAGAAAGGGTGTCAAGATGTATCTACTTATCTAGATGTATCTACTTGTCAATGCTTCATCAATTAATAAATACACAGTTAAATGTGTTTAGGGTTTAAGATTTAGGATTTATGTTGATTTGTGATAATAGTCGTAACATAGAAAATAGATGGAATTGGCCATGTACCATTGCATGTATTCTTGTGTGTGAAACAATGGACCTTGCATTGGATGACCCATCTATGTGTGCTCACGTTTATTTCCATATGTTGACCTATCTGTCCAGAATGGCCCGTTCTGGTTTAACTGGTCATGTGTTTTTTTGAATCTGGAACGGGCCGTTTTGAAATCGGAACGGGTCGTTCTGATTTCGGAATGGGCCGTTCTGATTCATTCGTCATGTGTTATTTTTTCGTCCGGAACGGCTCGTTTTGATCTATTTTTCATGTGTTATTATTTCATCGGGAACGGGTCGTTCTTGTTTCAGAAACGGCCCGTCCCGCTAGTCAATAGTTGTTTCATCAATGCATTGGAACATGTGATTTTTGGTAATTTTTTTAAAAAATAATTATTTCAATAAAAAATTTAGAAACTTTAATCTTGTGTGATAGGGTATATGATATACTATTTGTATAAGTGGTCCATCCAATAATTTACCAAACATTGAGGACTATTTTACAATTCCTAAAAATTTGTTATTCATTTAAGTGACTTGACTTACTTGACTATTATAATTATGCCACGTAAAAAAGGTTCCAAAATCCTCCAAAATGCAAAGGTACCGGAGAGTCTCTCTTTATTTTATACAATCTAAAGCTAACTATCAAATACTACTGTATTATATCACTTCCTTCAAAATGGGCTTGCTTGGAACTTGGCAGTCACTGCAACCTTTTCAAAACCGAAGATGATGCAATGTGGGCTAATCTGGGCCGTCCAAATGCCTTGGACCCATAAAAAAACAAGCCTGTTTAATTCTATAGCTAAAAGCCTGAAGTTCATTTGAACAACGCATTGCTTTGAGTTTGGGCATCAAAAATCCTTGTTCAATACATTTAAACTGTTAAACTATTAACATTTATTCTAACATTAACCAACTCCAGCTAAATGTAAGGAATATAATACAATAAAGAATTTCTGTTACAAATAATTTGTCAAATTTCGTTAAGAAGAATAGGTTTTTACTACAAAAATATATATAAATAAATAAATCGTTACAATTAGGGATGAATTAAAAAAATGTTCAAATAAAAAATGAAAAAAATAAACAAAAGTTAACATAAATATTTAAATTGATATTATATAAGTTTATTCACTTTTGTGTGTATTTTTATATATACATATTTTAAAAAAATACAGAAATTTGATTTAATTACATTTGATCTAATTACAAAATTTTAATTCACGTAAAATTTAATATGCATAATCATTAATATAATATCAAAATATTAATGAGTTAAATCAATGAAAATTAATATGTACAGTGAGAAGTGTACGTAATCATGCCAAAGAGTTATTCCTAAAATAAATCAGTCTCCATTCTTTTCTATATTAAAACAAACGCATCATGCTTTTCATATTAAAAAAAGAAAGTAATGAAATGTGTCGTAAATTAGAAAGTGTGAGAAATTCGAGACTGAAATTTACTGAAAAGTAAAAAAGAGGAAAAAAAAACAAAAATTGAATTGAAAAAAAGAATAGTGAAAGGGAAAGAATGATTAAAAAGTAATTATAAATAGTCTAAAAAATGCATAAGAAAAGGATATATCTTTTATTTGCTATATGTATAAATATATAGATAATAATATAATCATTTTATTTATCAAGTTTCAACATAATTTGATTTTTAAACTTTTTTTATTTAATATTTGAGTTCTTTGAGAACTTCTGCACATGACTACCACGACAGGGATGTTGCTACCTCTTTCAAGTTCAAACTAAAATAATGACACGCATGGATATCTCAATCTGACCATTAAAAACCTAGCCCTTTCAGATAAAAATAAAATTGTAAAGTTAATCAAATTAGACTTGATGGAACCTAACCATTAACTAACACCTTTTAGAAAATTCAAACAATTGAACAGTTTTGAGACAGTTTTCGTATGACATGACATCGTTTAAACTAACATGTTTTTCAAAATTATCTGTCCCAAAAGGATAAAAATAATTGGAAAAATTATCTGCATTGGGTGCAATTTGTCTCATAAACACTTAGATTAATTAAAATATCTTATCTAATGAAAGTCTCTTTCATGATCTTATCTAATTAAGCAGTCGGCAGTGCTTTCGAGTGTCCGTTACTAAAAGGAAGTAAATAATTGTAGCAAGTAATCTTTTTGCACATTATATATTATGATCGTGTATGCATTGTTTACTTCATTGCAGAAAATAAATCAATTAATTTCTAACATTTTGGTTTGCCGAATCACGCAAAGTGATAGTTAACTTGGGTAACTATAAACTACTATCAGTGAGACAGATGTAATGTAAACAATGGGTATTTAAGAAACTAAGAATTGATCATTGCTTATTCTTGGACACGAAAATGGATGGTTCACTCAATATCAACTAAAAGAAATTCACCACGGCGTCCCCGGAAATCTTCGTACCGGCGATTATATGCAACAACTCTAATTATAAAATCAATATTTACTCAATTTGTGCCTTTTTTTTATTTTACGTTGATGGTGTAATTTTGTTTAAAAATTTCGATACTTTTATAAATTAAAATAAATTTTGTAAACAATTGTTTACTTCACTATTATTAATAAATTTTCTAAACTCTAAATGTATACTTTTTAAAAAACTAAAATATTTTTTTTAAATTACTATTAAAAAAT